AAGTCCATGAGCAGAGGAGCCTAGTGGGCTGTGGTCCACGGGTCACAAAGAGTCAGACACAACTAAGCAAATGAGCACACACATTGCAGAGAGAAGGCTTGTCAGCCAGAAAATCAACGGCGAGCCCTAGGTCTGCCTATTTTTGTGACAGGGGCAAATAACTTCAAAAGAAAGAGAACTAAAATGTCTTTATTCAAAATTTAGATATATAGCTCACTTAGCATAGTTTCGGAGAAGGCAATGGCACCCCACTCCAGTACTTTTTTTTTCCATTAATTTTTTTAGTTGAAGGCTAATTACTTTACAATATTGTAGTGGTTTTTGCCATACATTGATATGAATCAGCCATGGATTTACATGTATTCCCCATCCCGATCCCCCCTCCCACCTCCCTCTCCACCTGATTCCTCTGGGTCTTCCCAGTGCACCAGCCCCGAGCACTTGTCTCATGCATCCAACCTGGGCTGGTGATCTGTTTCACCCTTGATAGAAAGATAAAGACCCACTCCAGTACTCTTCCCTGGAAAATCCCATGGACGGAGGAGCCTGGTAGGCTGCAGGCCATGGGGTCTCTAAGAGTCAGACACAACTAAGCGTCTTCTTTCACTTTTCACTTTTATGCATTGGAGAAGGAAATGGCAACCCACTCCAGTGTTCTTGCCTGGAGAATCCCAGGGATGGGGGAGCCCGGCGGGCTGCCGTCTATGGGGTCGCACAGAGTCGGACACGACTGAAGTGATTTAGCAGCAGCAGCAGCAGCAGTTTCATGGTTTTTCCACATAATAAAAGCAAGCACAAAATTAAAAGTGAATGCGATTACTCAAGACATCCATCCACCTTATTGTTCAGTTGTTCAAATTTATGTTTCCACTTTATTTTAAAATAATTTGTTCAAATCAGGATACAAAGGTGCTATCTGCATTTACTTTGTGTCACTTAAGTCTTTTAACTTAAAGGGTCCCCCCCTCCCTTTTCTTGCAATTTGTTAACAAGGCCAAGACATTTATCCTGTAGAATTATCCCTATTCTGGATTTTGTTGATTGTATTCCTATGGTGTTCTGTAACATGTTCCTTTGTGCTCTGTATTTCCTATTAATGGACAGAGCTGGAGGTTTGATCAGATTCAGGCTTTTTTTCCCCTGTCAAGACACTTCATAGATGGTGCTGGGCACTTTTAATTGAATTGTATTATAAGGCACATCATGAAGATTAACCAATGAGTTCATCAGGTGCTGCCATTTCATCCAAAATTCCTCATCAGCATTTCAATTAATAGCTTCAGCAGCCACTGATAAGCACTGCCTGCTGCTGCTGCTAAGTCGCTTCAGTCGTGTCTGACTCTGTGCGACCCCATAGATGGCAGCCCACCAGGCTCCGCCGTCCCTGGGATTCTCCAGGCAAGAACACTGGAGTGGGTTGCCATTTCCTTCTCTAATGTAGGAAAGTGAAGAGTGAAAGTAAAGTTGCTCAGTCATGTCCGACTCTTCGCGACCCCATGGACTGCAGCCTACCGGGCTCCTCCGTCCATGGGGTTTTCTAGGCAAGAGTATTGGAGTAGGGTGCCATTGCCTTCTCCAAGCACTGCCTAGCTCTTGTCAATTTATTAGGAATTTTAAAATGGTGATATTCTAATACTTATTGTCCATATATTAACTATAATAATTCTATAAATTCTTCCCCCTCAATTATTTGATTATCCTGGGATAAGGCAGGATAAATTCTTCTTTCTCTTCAGATTTCCAGTTTTCAGAATAATTCCTCAACATCTTCCCAAAGGTAACTGAGTTGGTTTGTTTTGTTTTTGCCCTCTTTTATCATTCTGAATGCATACGTTACATATTTAATACATTTTATTTCAGTTATTCTTAATGAACATCAAAGTACTCCACATATATCACCAGTTGTTTAGAATCCCTCATTGGATTTTGGGTTTCTGAGAAAACATCTTCAAGTTTCTGAAAGCTCTCTTGCTTTGGCAATACTTAGGTATTAATTTTTCCGATGTGAAATTTTTGTTGGGAGGAGAAAAGTGTATGTGTGAATCGAATGATCTCTCTCAAAATAAGCTGGGGCAAGCAGGCTGGGGTATAGATAAAACAAGTTTGGCCACCCATTGCTAACTTCTGAAATTAGTATAAGCACAGTTTATTATTGTTCCTTGTATTATTCTCTTGTATACATTTGAAAAATTCCATAAAGAAGCTTTTAATTTCATTTTAGCAGTAAAACTGTAAAGTCACCAACTACTACAGAAGACAAACATACCGTAAGTCTAGCTCACACCCAACCAGAAAGTTTCGCAAAATTATATCAAAGTACATGCAAGAGAAAAAAAAAAAACCTTATCTATATTATCTCACTTTACATTCAAGAAAAAGTTGTATATTTGAGGTTAACAGATAGTCTGAAAAGTGTGATTCTTAAAGTATTCTTTATTAAGATTATTAAAAGTTGTAGAAACAACTTTATATTATAAAGGCACAGGGAGACAGTTCTGATAAAATATTCAAATTAAACAGTAACTTACAGTACAAAAGACAATTTTAATGCACATACAAACCCCAAATGTCTGATTCAAAAATATTTTACTGTGTCTATTAATGGGCAATGATTAAAAATATAAATTGCTACTGTATAATAAATATCTGATAGTGAACATCTTGATAGCAAAGTGAACAAAATATTTATTGCTTTTCACATATATATTTTTCCCTGTAATTTAAAATTCCTAATTCTTTTATTATCTTCTCCTCAACTTTTCCAAAGATAGAAGAAATCCCACATAATCTCACGGGGGAAATGGCAGTTATCAAAAACTACCTCAAGGAGCAATCACTGCTGGCGCTGTTTTCTCACCTCCTGCTCTGCGATCACAGCCGCCCTTCCAAAAAGTAAGATCAATGTCTGCTAAACAGTAAGACAACTGCTCTAATGACTGGCATTCTAAGGTTTGAAATGAATACTTTTACAAATATAAAAGGTGCTCCATTTTGAAATGTGTATTTTTTTCGAAGTTTTGGGCAAGAGGCGAATGTCTGACAAGTAATTTTACCTACTCCCCTCAAAAGTTTTCCAAAGTTGTAAAAAGTCAGCTTGTAAAATTTCCAGCACTTGAATATTTCTTTGAGGGCTAGTTGGCATATGTAATGTACTGATGTATAAAAATTAACATAATGCAATGTATTTTGTAATGAAGAGATCTTACCCTTCTTCCAGTTTTTAAACTGGGATTAACTTTATTGATTTCCTCCTGCTCTTTCTCTAGCAACCGTTATAGATAGTACAGGTAGAACTTCCATCACAACAGTAAAAGAACATGAAAGCAACATCCTAATGAATGCTATTTCAACTTAAGAAATATCCACATTAAAGTCTTTGATAATCAATGTAAAGTTACTTAACCATATGTCATGTTCAGACAGTGTGTAGCAGCTAGTAATGCACCTGGCACAGAGTTGATGCTCAATAAATAGTTGCTGAATGAATGAAAAAGAAAAACATGGCTTTGGTTGTGCATACTTTAATCATGTTCTGATTAGAATAAGATCAGTCTAGAACTAAATACTGCACACTACATCAAACTTTGCTGTAAACAAAAGTTACGATTTCAAACAGAAAAATATCACCTACGTTAGCTTTAGCCAATTTATATATACATATATTTTAACTTTAAAAAACAGCCGAGAGAAATTTCACACATTTGTTAATTTTTATCCACATACTTAAATTTGATGTTGTTGATGGTTAACAATAGGGAAATGAAGACCAAGTTGGACAGAATGGCTAAACCTGTCTGCTTTATAGTTAGAATTACTAGTCCATCAATAAATAAAATGTTATGATGCCAGATTAAACTCAAACAATGACTACCACGCTGATTTTTGCAAAACTACCACACTGAAGTTACAAAAATGTAACTTAAGTTACATATGTTTGGAAGCAGTAGCACAATTTTTCAACAGTAAAGAATAACCAGGAAGATATGAATTTAATAATGACAGACTCAAAGTATTGGAAGTAGGATAGTAAGAATAAGTAGGTGACCAATTTTAAAATCGAGGACTAGGTCTAATATTTCTTTGGCATATGCATTACTATCCTGGACAAGTCAGCATTTAAAAAATACTGTTTATTTTTTCCTCTCAATTAAATTAACATCAAGGTATAGACTTCTAATATACTCTTAAAGCATTTTAAGGGACAAAAATGACATTTTGCAACATATGCCAAAGTTCATATTAAGTGTACAGTTATAATTTATTGGCATAGAGGGATGTAACTGTTAAATAACCTTAAATGATCTCATGCAATGGTGAAACCACAGAAAGTGGGAAGAAATATAAGTATTTACACAATAAAATTTTCAGTTTTCTGAAAACCGAATTCCGTTTTTTCAAAAAAAGACACAGTAAACCTGGGAATCCTAACGGTAAATATGTACCACATAGCCCTGAATGAAAACTAGCCCAACTGTAAATGAACACCTATAGTAACCTGAATGTGTAAAAATTTAATAAAAAACATAAAAATGGAAGAGAAAAAAAAAAAACCCTATACACCAGAAGGAAAAAGTAGCCTATAAAACAGGCCAATTTAACTTGATATTCAAAGTAAATAAAAGAGATTCACAAAATCATGACAGTAATGCAAACTAAGTCAAGTACCAAGTACCCTTTGATACACAAGCCAATATAACTATCAGACTCATTTCCAATAGCTTAACAATACTCATTAATCCAGTCAGGCATTCAGGGGCTGAAGCGGTCAATGAGAGCTCAAGCCTCCAAAGTTTAAGAACAAACTTATCTGCAGAAGCATCGTGTGATTTTTGAAATCATGTCTTATTTTGGTGGATGTTAACATAAGATCTGTCAGTGCAAGTTTATCATCCATTTGGAAGTATTACTTCCAAATTTCATTTTTCCAGATAGTTTTTGGTAGTTTTCCTTTTAGCCAGTGCTATGTAAATGAAGAAAAGCAAAGACAAGTTCACCGTAGACTACCTCACATTGTTACTTAATTGTGCTAGATATTCACGCAGTTCTTTCGCAGCCTGGAATCTGCCATAGCGCTTCTTTGGGTTGGCGCACTCATCCAGCAAGGCCTCGAGGCGGCCATCTTTGGCAATTTCACTTGGCGGATCATGGAGGAGTCCTCCAGAAGTGCCACGCCAGGTGGCATGTCTGGATAAGAGGTTCTGACAAACAGCATAATAATTGTGGTCCACAGTGGCTCGAGCACAAAGAATTTCTTTTGAAAATGATAAGCAAGCCTCCTTATCACAGTCATCAAATTTGCTTTCATACCATACATCCCAATTTTCAGGCTTATCTGTGAAAAGGGAAAGAAGAAAGAGAAAAATACATTTTAGAAGACTTTTCATTGTTTCCCAAAATGTAACATTTGACTAACGAACACAGTAATGTTGGTTCTTAAAACTATATTACATTAAACATTTAAATATATTAATTTCTACAAAAACACTTATGAGGAGTCCACCAAGGCAGGGGAGAAGGATCAGACAAGGTCCCTACATACTAAAGACCAAAGGGTTCAGCTTAGAGTGAAACTCGCCATGAAAGTGCCACATACAAGTCTGACATAGTGCTACATGAGTACAGAGGAAGCAGTATCTGTGCCTGGGACTGCAGAAAGCTGCACAGAGAACAACTAATTTAGGTTTTGAAAGATAAACAAGTCTGAAAAGAGGGAAAACAGCATGCTAGCCCCAGGGTACAGTATGTACAAAGGCATGGATCTAAGGGGTTGGCCCAGCTAAGGGCCATCTAAGGGGTTGGTACGGGAAATAATAAATAATAAATAATAATAAATAATAAATTCACTGTGGCTAGAGCACGAGACAGGTGACTGGGGAGGAGGCACAAACAATGCTAGAGGAATAGGTTGCATCTCCTGTGGTCATGACCATGATCTGTCTAATAGAAATGTAACTCTGGGCTGAAGACTGGAGGTGCTAGGATGATGACAACAACTAAAGAAGGTCCAGGAAAAAAAGATTGCAGAAACACTTGATACAAAAATTAACAGTAAAGTCTGAGGTTCTAACTGGATGACAAAGTAGACACTATTAACATAATATTAGTATTTTATACATACAGAGTAATATAAAGTAGCTGTGAGGTATTCAGTGGAAAGGTTCATTAAAGAAACTAAAAGGCCTGAAGCTGTAGCTGAAGCATTAAGGGCACTGCAGTTATGTTAAAGATGAAGCAGAACAAGGCCAAGTCACATAGATTATTCTCTGGTAAAGTGTATGAATTTTACTTGACAAACCACTGGAAGTCAATACAAGCATTAAGGAAGGGAGTGCTAAGATCAGATTTATGTTTTGAAAAAGGAACTACCTGAGTAGAAGGAAACCAAAGGAGGAAATAATTTCAGAAAGCTGTTACTAATCAGTCACTCACAAATTTGCCAACTGGGTGACTGCAAATAGTAACGTGATCTTCTAAGTCGGGTTTAATGGGCTGAGGAATGAATGGACGCTGAGGAAGTAGAGAAAGGCAATAAGCAACTTTTAAAAAGAGGGAAAGCAGGAAAGAATCTTATGCATACTTGTTTATGGGAAAGTAAGAAAAACTAGATTTTAAGAAGGTGGGTGGGAAGTTGAAGAAACTAACTGATGCAAAAAGTTCCCAATGAAGGATCTATTTTGTCTGAAAAAAATAAATGTGTATCACTTTTACTAATTTGGATGATAAAGGGAAGGACATTAAGGGAGTTGCCATAACAAAACCACAATTTCCCTGTAAAGGTCATTTACTAGAAAGAGTTAAGAAAAGAGGGTGAATAAATAAATACAGCCTTTTGCAAAGTGTCTATTTAGCCAACTCTACCATGAAACATTTGTAAAGAATAAGCCAGAGCTAAAAAAGCACTGGAGCAATGCTCACTGTATGAAATGCAAAAATACAGAAACTATACTGTATTCATCCAAGGTCAGGAATTAATTGGTACAAAACTGTAACATGTATTCCAGGAATGTTCACGTTAAAAAAAAATTTTTTTTTACAAAAGAATTATTTTTACAAATACTGGAATAATAATGTTACAGAGTTTAGGCAAGTCGTACAACTCTGTGTATATCTTAAAAAAAAAAACTGAACTCTTAAAATAAAAAAGCACAGTTTAAGCTGCTGTAACTTCCACAAATGTATAAAGAGGTTAAGTGGGTAATGATGTACTCCAGAGCGGGGCATCCACTCCCTGTGAAAGGATCTGCATGGCAGATAAAAGAATCAGAAAGTAGTTTTTTGAGTATGGAATCAGAACAGGGCATTGAGAAAAATCAAGTATTTAACAAGATAAGCCAAGATAATGTAAAATGTGTCAACCTAATACATTGCTGTTACATTGACTGCATCCCAGGTGCCACATACTTTTGGTCTCTTCATCAACAGATGTGTCCCTTCCACATGACAGGAAGGGATTAAAAATAACAAGGTTTTTACCATAGAACAACCCTTCAGTTTCTTTCACTAAGTACATTAGTTATAGAACCACAGGCTTTGTCCTTGAAACTAAAATTTCTACGACAATTTTCAAAACACTTCAGACATTCTGCCCATCTATCCAGTGAAGAGCTCATAAATAAATGAAAGCAAAGTTTAATGTCAAACCAAAGTTAGAGATCTGCAGTGCTAGGAATCATCTACAAGGTTAAAAAAGAATCACTGGAGGGACCTCACAGAAAAACGAAACACAGAATACTACTGTAAGAGAATACATAGAAAAACAGACTCCACAAAAGCAGTATAGTCTCTCTGGTAGCCTTTAACTAAATAAAAACTTAATTCTGGATTAGAGTCCTAAACCACAGCACATAGCAGACTGTATGAAAAAGACATGTACACACACACACCCCACACACAGTACACCTGGGTCCATTTGAACATGAACTATATTTTACTATATATGGGCAAACTGTGATTAAGAGTACAATTCTAATAAATCAGTATTTGTTTACCAGTGAAATAAAACAAAGAAAGATGCAAGGTTGCTTTCTAAGGAGTAAGTTTTAAAAATCTGCTTCATATAAATGTAAACATCTGACATAGAAAAAAAAATCTACAAGTTATATACTTACTTTGTCTGATTAACCTTTTGTCAGCAACCAAAACATTTTCAGCATCCACAATGATTACCTTCCCATCTCTAGGACCAACAGCAAAATTGTCAAAGCTGACGTCCAGGAGGTAGAGTGCAAATTCAAAGTCATTGTTTGTGAGCTGCTCTGCTATTTCCATTAATTGCCAAGCGAGGTCAACTCGTTTCTCCCATGGTGCATTAAAGTAACTCCACAGTTCTTCTCCAACATAATTTACAGCCACCATTCTTCCACAAGCTCCAAGATATTTTGCAAATGGCCAACCTTCATCAGATGGAAAACTCTACAAAAGAATTATCTTTATTACAAGACATTCTGGTGAGGATATACTAGGTCTATCCCCTAGATTCTCACAGTAGAGACTTCTGCTAGGCATGAGCTTGGATTTTCTTGTACAATAGTTCAAAAGAGATAAACTTTTTTTTAAATTGAGGCATAATTAATTTAAAATGTGATGTTAATTTCTGTTATACAGCAAAGTGATTCAGTTATATGTATATATACATTCTTTTTAAAAAATATTCTTTTCCATTATGGTTTATCTCAGGATATTGAATACAGTTCCCTGTGCTACACAGTAGGATCTTGTTATTTATCCAATTCTATATTTAATAGTTTACATCCACTAAGTCCAAGTTCACCCCTACCCTTCCCTGCTTTGGCAAACACAAGTCTGTTCTCTAGGTCTATGAGTAACTTTCTTTCTTAACTCATACCATTACTATGGACTTGAAATTTTTTAATAGATAACCTCACATTATAAAGCTAAAATAAGTCTTGCTTATCGAAATCTCAGAATCAAACCGATCAACAAAACACAAGACACCTTCTTACCAGATCTAAAAGTACAGATGCTTTCCTTTATCTTTTTGACTCATGTACGTACAATCAACCAAAACTTTCTTTTGAATGAACAGGACTGCACACCTATTAGCCAGCAAGTGTTACCAGGCATCAGGCACTCTGTTATGCTGGCAGTAAGAGTGAACTAGTCTCTCAAACAGAAATTTTAGAAGACAAATACCAAACAAATAACTATGAGTGCAATTAAGTATTAGTTACTAAAAAATGGTTCCGGTCCTAAGAGAGTATTTAATAGGGACCTCATCTAATGCAGAAGCAGGCAGGAGAGGAATGCAGAGAAAGATTCTTGGGAAATGTCTTCTAATCTGTACCCACAGGTTGGTAAAGAGCAGTCTGGTAACTCACAATGCAATCTCCACTCCAAGTATCTCTGATGCCAAGTTAGCCTTGTTTCCCTTTCCAATGTCACCATATTGTCTATTCACCTTAAATCCAACTTCAAAATTATTTGTTCTCCTGAACTTGCCAAGATTTTCTAATGGATTTTTTTAACTACTAGGGAGATTAACATCCTAAAACAAAAGTCTTCCAGGATTATGAACAAGTTATTTTCAACCTAAGTAAAATGGCAGGCTTATTCTAAAGTATTCTGTAGTACTGTAACACCCAGCTACAAGTTGAGCAAAGAGCAAAAGGGTGGCAAGTAATACTTTAAACAACTTTCAGAAGATCACGTGACAAGAGGTGTTTTTAAAGAGCTATTTTTCAGAATAGTGAAGTGAAAGTCACTCAGTCATGTCCAATTCTTTGTGACCCCATGGACTATACAATATACAAGTCCATGGAATTCTCCAGGCCAGAACACTGGAGTGGGCAGCCCTTTCCTTCTCCAGGGGATCTTCCCAACCCAGAGATCAAACCCAGGACTCCCACATTGCAGGCAGATTCTTTATCAGCTGAGCCACTAGGGAAGCTCTTTCAGTATAGTCCCTTCCCTTAAATTAGAGGAACAAATCATGCAGATGATATTTACACAGATTGCAGGGAAAACAAACCAAAACACTATAGAATATAAATATAAATATAGCCTATGTCTATTGCTAAAAATTGAACAATCTACATAAGAGCCCGAGATGAGGCTCTTCTGGGAACTCAAGAAAAGTAGGTGGGTGATATTAATTTTACTTTGAGCTTTTATAAAATTGACAAAACTCAGTAACACTCTTACTTTAAAACTTTTATCAACTTTAAAACAAAAGATTTATAGATGCCTTCATCCATAATTGCCTATTTTCATTTGTGCTTCCTTTTAACTCTATCAATGTAGAATAACTGTATTTGTTCTTTGTATGTATACCTTTTCCATTTAAATTTCAATATCTGCAGTTCTGTCATATATTAATTATGTAAATTAAAAATTAAGATATGCTAGTATGAATCTTTAAATATAGTAAATTAATTCAGTTTTATTCACAGACAATATCTGATTCTTTAGTAATTAGAGGAAAGTACATTTTTGATCTTATCTGAGATTTTAAAACTTCTTGTGGGTACTGGGGAAAGTGACAGATTGCTCATTTCCAATGTGTCATGCAAAAACTGCTGACCATACGTTATTTTCAGCTTTTCCTCCCAACTTAAAATACCTCCATAATCTTGAAAATTTATAGGCAAAATGACTACAAAAGATTTAACTATTTCTCAGAAGTATTCATGTATAAAATCTGATATATAAAACAAAAGCACTGAAAATAACTAAGTATGTGAGATTATATAGTTTTCCAATGCAAAAAATAAAGAACTCCTCCACATACACTATTGGTATATTATTCACATGCCATATTGTCAAACAGATACAAACATATCTTTGTGAAACTAAAATGGTCTTTGACAACAGGAGAAAAGGGAACCCTGCCAACATCTGCACATGTACAAATGCCTCCTTGTTTTTGGAACCTTTCCAAGTGAACGACAGTCAAATATATACCTCATTACTCAAGTCTCTCACGGAAGAGAATAAAATATATGAACAAATGTCATATTGAGCAACTTTATATTCATACAGCAATTTCTGACAATGTTAAATGAAATCATGTTATGCCTCATTTTAAGAAGAGCACAATTCTTTCATATAATTTGCTACCAAATCTTTTGGAAGAACTTTAACGAATGAATTCACATCACTTGCTCATATGAAAAGAACTTTTCATTGAATAATCAAAAGTTATACTTCATTAATAAGAACAGAATTCTACTAAGCATTCTATTAAAAATGCTCCAACGAAGCCAAAATATTTATAATTTGTATTTAAAACAATCTGGCATAGAATCAAACGTACCATGAGCGAGCAGAGTTTGAGAGACAAAAATTTTAAGATGTTACCACTTGGATTTATTAAATATATCAAGCAATAAGAAACAGAACATCTTACTTCCTGGTTACCAAACTCCCACAGTGCATAAAACACAGTAGCTAGGATAAGAAGTATACTGCTGAGGTCCACTTTTTTTTTTTTCTTTAAACAAAATCTTAAAAATCTGCCCATTGTGCTAGGCAGATTTTCAAACTGCCTAACACAACAGGCACACATTTCAAGTACCTTGAAATAAAATGTGTGTTTCATTTTTACTTTACTTTTTGTTGATGTATAGGTGATTTACAATATTGTCAGTTTCTATTGTACAGCACAGCGATTGAGTTTCATTCTTTTTCCTTATAGGTTATTTCAAAATACTGAGTATAGTTCCCTATGCTAGAGTAGGTTCTTGTTGGTTATCTATGTTATATATAGCAGTGAGTATATGTTAATCCCAACTTCCTAATTTATCTCCCACCCACTTCTCTTTTGGTAATCATAAATTTGTTTTCAAAAGTGTACAAGTCTCTTTTTGAAGTAAGTTCATCTGTATCTTTTTTTTTTTTAAGATTCCACATATAAACAATATTAATATGATTTGACTTTGTCTTGCTTATTTCACTTAGTATGATCATCTCTGGGTCCATCTTTGTCACTGCAAATGCCATTAGTTCATTCTTTTTATGGCTGAGTAATATCACGTTGTGTATATATACCACATCTTCTTGATCCATTGATCTGTAGGTCGATATTTAGGTTGCTTCCATATCTTGGTTATTCTAAATAGTGCTGCAAGGAACCATAGGATACATGTATATTTTGGAATTATGGTTTTCTCTGGATATATGCCTCGGAGCAGGATTGCAGAACCATATGGTAACTCTTCCCTGGTAGCGTCCCATATGGGCTTCCCTGGTGGCCCAGTTGGTAGAGAATCTGCCCGCAATGCAGGAGACCTGGGTTCGATCCCTGGGTCAGGAAGATCCCCTGGAAAAAGGAATGGCAACCCACTCCAGTGTTCTTGCCTGGAGAATTCCACAGACAGAAGAGCCTGGTGGGATAGAGACCATGGGGTCTCAAAGAATCAGACATGACTGAGCGAGTAACACTTTTACTTTCTTTCATGGCAACTCTATTTTTAGTTTTTTAAGGAACCTCCATACAGTCCTCCATAGTGGTTGCACCAATTTATACTCCCACCAACAGTGTAGGAGGGTTCCCTATTCTTCTCACACTCTCCAGCATTTATTATTTGTGGACTATTTGATGACAGTCATTCTGACCAGTGTGGGGTGGTAAGTCATTACAGTTGTTGATTTGATTTTTCTAGTGGGGGTGCTGAGCATCTTTTCATGTGCCTTTTGGCCATCTGTTTGTCTTCTTTGGAGAAATGTCTGCTTAGATCTTCTGTCCATTTTTTGATGGAGTTGTTTATTTTTTGATCTTGAGCTGTCTGAGAAAATGTGTGTATTTTATAGGATTATTTACTAGTGAAAAAATGCATACAAATACTTTTCATCTGAAAGGGAGTCTTTAAACCTAGAATGGTTTAAATTCTAACTGGATTGGAGGCACTACAATTAATTGTTCAGGATTTTTCATCAGGTTTGAATATGTCATACAGTATGCAAAGTTATAACTAAGTATTAGTTTAAGATTACACAAAATGGTTAAAAAACATATTTATTACTCTATTATTGCTTTTTTTTACATTAAGTGGGTGACCACCCAAAGAAAAAGTTTGAGTATTACTACCAATGTAATAATTAAAAATGGAAATTTAAGTATCAAGTCAAAAATGCTTCACTCTAAGACTTAAAGCAACATTAAATGCTTTCATTGTTAATTAACATAGTATTTTGAATATGAAACCTAAGATATATCATGTCTAGGTATCTTTAACTTAAAATCAAGGTTTCAGAAACTACTAGGATCATCTTCATTTTATGAGAAAATAAAATACATACAATCAATATAGTAAAGAGACAATTCAGATATTTTCTATTCTTTAAGATATATAATATAAAATTTCTATATTTAAAGGGTAAAACTGTGTATAAGCAGAATAGACTTGAAATCACTAGTCTAACTTCTAAGTTCCACCTTCACCTCTGCAGCTCAC